CTAGAAATAAAAGGTCAGCTCTTTTTAACTTTAATAAATCTTCAATTACTTTTTAAAAAGTACTAAGACACAATCATAATATAAGTTGGTCATGGGGATGGGGACTGTAGTACAGCATGGAGAATATAGCGAATGATCTGTAACATCTTACTATGTTGATAGACAGTAACCACACTAGAGGGGGTGAGGATTTAATAATATGGGTCACTGTGTTGTATATCTGAAACCAACATAAGATTGTATATCAATGATACTTTAATTAAAAAAAATACTGAATAAAATACAAAACATTGTTTTTATATAGGTTGTATTTTGAGATCATACTTACCAGCAGTTGTTTTCAGCAGCTGGTGTGGCTGACTATACTTGAATGAAGGATAACGAAAGAAACACACATAATTTGGCTTCAAAACATGAACATTACTACATGTTTGAAAGTAGCGAACACAGATCTAGGGATGAGAAAACAAAAAAGTGAAAGCTTTTATAAATGCTCTTAATGGCTTATCTTTGTAAGTATATGTTGACTTTCAAGTCTATTCTAAAAGTGGAACAATTATCAAAATAGAAACAATATGAAATTATCTAGGCTAAAATCTGAACACCTGGCACCAGTGACAATCCGGTTTATGAAGGTTGGTTATTTCTTAGGCATTTCTGTTCATGAAATCAAAGGAACTCAAACCTGAGCACATACAGAACATTTTGTTGTTCTTTTATTTAGTAAAATTATATCCTAAGAGTCAAGTTTATTCATATACATTGGTCCTTTCCTAAAATTCCTTATGAAAGTAAAGAAAATTTAACAATGTATTCTGCTTTTGAGTCATTAAAGAGTTTCTGAAATAAAACTACTAAAGAATTCAAAAGTGACTGTTAATCATCTAAAGACACTGAAAAACATGTAATATTGTACCAAAAGGTTTCTTATCATAATTTATAGGTATGTCTTTAGTTTAACTATTTTATATAACATCTTAGTATTATATGAGGCAGTGTTACAGAAATAAGTAGGCTTGAATGTACTCAAGTTAATATATTAAAACCTATGTGTCTGAAATATAGTATTTTATTTTGAAAGTTAATATTTCAGTGTTACTAATACCTGATTATGTGTCTCACTTTTAAAAATAAACAGAAATTTCTAACCTTCTTAATGTATTTGAGAATACTGGTATATATCTGATATTTTTTCATTAATATAGGAGAGAATTATTTTTACTTAAAAAAAATTATTGTCATCATGTACTATATACTTTAGTGGCGATTAGCCCTTAAAATTGAAAAGTTATAGATGGTCAGCTATGGAAATACATTTTTCTGATAATATTCCTTTCTCTTAAAAAAAAAAAAGCAGTTCCTGTGTGGTGATCTCCAATAGGTTCTTCACAATGGTATAAAGGTCATATCAAAGTGTGGACAAAGGGTTTGTTTGTGTTTATACAGAGGATCAAAGCCTAACTTGGCTACCCAGAAAATGAATTAAGATACGATATGAAGAAGAACTTCCAACATCAACATCCTCTGAAGAGTCATTCCAGAAGATGATCATCAAAAAACTTCAACAAAGATCCTGGCGCTGTTGCAGTTGTAGCTGCATTCATCCC